ACTGCTGAGGAACAAGTTTGGCATTTGGGGAAGTCATGTGAACCACTTAATTTGCATAAAATGCATTAGAATTGCAGAGTGAATAATGAAATAAAGTAGCTAAGGTACTTGCCCAGGGGCACACTGTCCTAGAGAGATCTCAGGTGTGCAGGGTCACAGCTGGTGAGCCTCTGACCATGCTCAGTGTCACATATCATGGAATACCTACTGCTACAGGCAATGTCTTTAAGAATTCACAGTCCTCAAGGATGTTTAAATCCACTTAAAGAAAAAGGTCACAGTATGCATTAGGTGATACTACTTACCTGCCAGGTAGAATAGAAAGGAAAAAAAAGCGTAACCTATATCAAGAACTTTTAAAGTTATACTTAATTGTGGTAAAGTATACCGAACATAAAATTTACCATTTGACCATTGTACACTGTATAGTTCAATAGTACTGAAGTCTGACCGATGGTAGCATCACCCTCATCCTTCTGCAGAACTTTTTAATCTTCCCAAACTGAATCTCTGTACCCATTAAACCTTTAACAGTGCCCCACCCCCATGCCTCTCTCCCCGGCCCTGGTGCTCATCACTCTATTTTCTACCTCTATGAACTTGGCCACTCTAAGTACCTCATTAGTGGAATTACACAGTGTTTGTCCTTTTGTGAAATCTGATTTCACTTAGTTGATTATCTTCAAGGTTTATCCATGTTGTACCACCTGTCAGAATTTCTACCCCTTTTAACACTGAATATATTTCCATTGTATGTAAATACCACACTTGCACTATATCCATTCATCCATCAATGAGCACTTGGGTTATTTTAACCTTTGGCCTTCTATGAATAATACTGCTATGACCAGCACTGTGCAAATACTTGTTTCAGCCCTTGCTTTCAATTATTTGGAGTATATACCCAAAGGTAGAATCTCCGAAATATAGAGCAGTTCTAGTTTTAATATTTTAAGGAACTGCCTTGCCATTGCTGCAGAGACTGCACCATTTTATGATCCCAGTTTCTCCATACCTTCACCAACACATGTTATTTTGTTGTTTTGAATAATAGCCATCTTAATATATATTGAGTTTAAAATTTAGATTTTAATTAAGTTTCTAAAGGAGGTCACTGATACCATTGGTTTGCACTCCCTTACTTGAGACACTTGAGACTATATATATTTTCAGAATTTTTTTAAATTTTAGAATATTACCATAGTGAATACAATGTATAATATGTGGTAGTCTCAGTGGAGTATGGACCTACAACCCAAAATGAAACACATTAATATTTCTACAGCAAAATGTATTAATAATGCACTAAGTTGGAAAAATAAGAACTATAATTGGCCTCCTTTCAGATATGAATTATGTTTTGCTAACAAATGGGCTGCAGAAAAAACTGGAGATTTTCAAAATTTGGAAGCACACATAAGGAATTCTGGGTCTGTATTAGCATATCTTCTTAAATTAGGAAGACTCATGAGCATGCTGCAGATGAGTGAATATGTGGCTGAGAGCTAGGAATTGCAGATTTCTTCTTGACCTCTTGGCTAAGATCAAGTGTAGAACTAGGAATTACTATAGAGATGTGTGTTCAATGGAGCTCATTTGTGGCAAAAAAAAAAAAAAAAAAAGGCTAAATTTGCTTTCACTTCACTCTTCCAATTGTGCCCAGAGGCAGGAGCAGTCAGAAGTTATCAGGCTTCTGAAAACAAACTCAGGTTAGCACCCACCTACCCCTTTTTGGCCCGTTCCTAACTTAGTTCCTATTACAATTTTTATATGAAGGGTTAGCCCCTCCCCCAATAAAATATCCATGTGTTGAAGGTTCGATCCCCAATAATAAATGTTCAGAGGTAGGGCTTTAGGGAATTGATTGGATCATGAGGGCTCTGACCTAATCAATGAATTGACCCATTGATGGATTCATAATTTGATGGCATAATTGGGAGGTGGTTGAAACTAGGCTTTGGGACCTAGTTAGAGGAGCTATGTACATGGGGGTATGCCCTTGAAGAGTTTGCTTTGTCCCCAGTCCCTTCCTCCTGCTCTCTGGTCCTGACTGCCATGAGGTGAACAGCTTCCTTCTGCCGTGTCTTCTGCCTAGCCCCGGGAACAAAGCAAGGGAGCCAGTCAACTGACCATGGACTGAAACCTTTGAAACCATGAGCCAAAGTAAATCTTTCCTTCTTTTTATTGATTTTTTCAAGTCCTTTACTATCGTATCAGAAAACTGACCAACACAGCTCCCACTTGGATTCATGCCAAACCCCCTGGGTACCTCTAAACCCGTCCTTTCTAGCAATTTGCTTTTCAAATGTTTAACTTGCAAATCCCAATCTTGAGAGTGTGTATCCCTTTCCCTCCATCTGTCCCTTCTTCTATCAGAAGGACTACCCCACCATGAACGTACTGATGAGAAGTGCTAAGTACCGACAAGTTAACAGGGCTCTCTCCCCAGCAAGTACATTCAGAGAGCAACAGAGTTTTTCTGGAAGCATTGACTGGGCCGTGAAGAGTGATTTTTAAATGGTGAGAATGTCAGCTGCATGATTAGTCAGTGGGAAATTTTCGTAGGAATGACGAGTGTATTTAATGTCTCTCAGGTGACAGAAGCTGTCAGCATTACCAGTGAGGGTCCCTGCACAGAGCCTACAGCCATCCACAAAGTTGACTACCTCAGCCCCCTGCTAAATTCTCATAGGACCCTCCCACCTTAAGCTGCTATAATGCTTGGATATAACCAAGGAGGCCTCCACTAACAATATGAGATTAGATGTGAAAAAAAATAATTCTGCCAAGCTACCAAAGATTTAGCTCCTAGTCTTGCTCTCGCCAATAGAAGTCAACCAAAATATGGAGGTTCTGCTTGGCTCTTCTTGAATGTCACCTACTTGCCACTCCACAGCATGAAGCATTGGCAGTGACAATGCCCCATTTCAATACTCTAATTTGTCCTCACTTCTGGATTCTCCCTGCTTCAAGTACACATGCATCCAGCCTTAGATCCTGGGACATTTGTGCCAAGAGTCTCCTTCTGTGTCTTCCAGAGATATGATGATGCAAAAAGCCTGATGCTGTGTGTCAAAGATCTGTGCAGAAGCTAACAAAAAGAAGAGCCTTGTGGGTTCAAAGATGAATCTGAGCTTATGTAGAGACTAAACATGAGAGGCAGCAGATGAACAGGTCAAGAGACCCTGGTGCTCATCTGAGATTTCACAAACCTTTCCAGCTGACATCATGGATTTAAGCCTTAGGATCTATATCTTGAGTGACAAAATGGCTGTTTTCTTCTTCAACTACTTTAGGTTTAAGCTCCCACATTGTGTCTAAAGTCACCCTCTAAGTGCAATGAAAGTAGAAAAGGCTCTGGAAGGCACGGGTGCATTGTTCCTTATTTTGCCTGTGTCTGAGCATCAGTAGGCACAGTGAGAGGCTGGGTTTGCTTGGCAGTCTTGTATTGTTGCTGAATGTTCACATTCCCAGGGGCAGCATTCCCAAGAAAGCTACTGCAGTGAGCTGCTGATAAATGAGCAGTGCCAGGGAGAGACAGGTCCCACCTCTGACTAAGCCAGGTACGACTGCAGGAATCAGAGTCTGAAATATGCAGGAGTGACACCAGAATACACTGTCATCTTGCAGCCTCTCAATCCATTGTGCAATTGATGGCCAGCCTTGGCCATGTTATTCCAATGGGCCATGACAATTATGTGGAACTATGGAACCCAAAACACATAATTACATATCAATGACAGTCAACGTGTTAGAAGTTACAGCAGGAAGACAACCTCAGAATGCAATAATATACTAGCTATATTAAAAAGCATGACAGAAGTTATGCTTTACTGCAAAAATAAAAAGGTATGGATCTATGAATTTTTTTAAAAAAATCTCTATTAGGACATTTTTTAGTGCAGTAATAGTTGAAGCATTGTGGAAAAGAATTTATTATGCCCTCTGTGTGTTTTATTATTCATTATTTAGTGGACATTGTGAAGTCAATTTTGTTCGAGATAGGGATGAAAATAGAGAGCTTATTCAGGGGATCTCTAATTTAAAATAGATAGAGCAATTCATACACAAATACGCCATGCGTAAGATTCAATATCTGAAAAATGGCTTAGTTATCGAAGTTTCTCTATGTGGTTCTTCCTGTGGAGGTTGATGGATAGAGCTTTTCGTTTCTGGAATTTGGAAAGTGATTTGCAGGAAGGGGAAGAATGTTAAGCATAAGGACAGTATACACGAATATGTAAATTGGAATGAAAAATAGAGAAAAGGAAGGGTTTTTTGTTGGTTTTATTTTTGGCTTTCAGGGAACAATAGCAAGAAATAGGAGAATAATAGTGACAGCAGTTAGCAGGGCTGCTGCCAGCCTGCAGGGGCATAAACCACAGCTCTCATTTTGTGCTCAGTAGTCAAAACACTTGAGAGTGTCTTGACACCCAGTCCTCCTCCCTCCACCCTGGTCTGTGCCGTAAAACCAGCTTCCAGTCTGGAGGGCAAAAGGAAAGACTGGAGAGGTCCTGGAGTCCCTGCCCTGGCTCCTTCCCTGACAGACCTTGGTTGGGTAGTTGCTGTGTCATTTGGAGCCTATCTGCAGTTCCAGTCTTTGTCATCTGGATCTTTGTACACTGTCTTTTTTTAAAATTCTCCTTCTTACCCCTTTGAGTGTGCCATCCGTTTCTTACCAGCACACAGATAGAGACAGCCCCTTTGTAGAAATTACAGAGGGCATCCAAATAAGTACCTGGGGCTCATTATAGCATCATCTCTACATATATATGTATATCATCTCTACATATATTATATACATATATATATTATATATACATATAATTTTCCTAAAATAAAAAAATGACCTCAAATTTTTTATTGTTTGGCATTTTTTTCCAGGAACTAAGTCTGCTTGTGCCAGGTAGTTGGCTCCCTGTTCTAGACAGCATGGCAGAATCTGGTTTTGAGGTCCCTGCTACATCACCCTGATCCATTTCTTCCTGTCTGCTTCCCAGATACTTGCCTGAGATCATGAATGATGGGTTGACCAACCAGATCAACAATCCCGAGGTGGATGTAGACATAACACGGCCTGACACCTTCATCAGACAGCAGATCATGGCTCTCCGTGTGATGACCAATAAATTGAAGAATGCATACAATGGCAATGATGTCAACTTTCAGGACACAAGTAAGGAACCAGCCGCTTCCAGAATAAAAAATGGTTATGAAGAAATACACTTGAATTTTAGACTTTCGACAAGCTGGGCTATAATCCCAGTCTTACCACTAGCAAACTGATGTCTTGAACAAATTAAAGATTGTCACTAACATATGATTGTTCTACTTATAATTCTTTGACTTTATAATCCTGTGAAGAACATAAACTTTCTGTAGAAACCAATCATACTTCAAATTTTTAATCTGAGCCAGGCATGGCTCAAATTTTTTTTTAAATTTTTGTTTTTAGCCTTTTTTATTTTTTATTTTTGTTTTTGTTTAAGTTTTCAGGTTTTGTTGTTTTATTGTTGAATTGGTTTTCTCTTACATGTGTACCCTAAGAGCATTCCTAGGAAAAGAATTCTTGAACATAATATGAGAAGTTGCTGATGATTCTGTAATTTAGTCACTGAAGCAAAAGATGATGGCTGTGTGCTTGAATTAACAAGAGAGAAAGAAACAAGCAATGAACTTCATTGCTGTCAAATTTCTCAGAACCATCCCATAGTCTCTCTTCTCTTAGCTAAACTACTTCAGAAGACAATGTTTCACCAGGTATTAGCCTTCTTGCTTGTCCCTTGCTCATTACTTACCTCATTTTCTTCATTTTGTCCTTTGTGTCTTCTCCATGTTTAAAAAAAATGCTTTCTTAACTACAGAAATGAATAATCCAAGACACATAAGAATTGGTTGATGTTGACCCTATTGCTTCTCTCTCCTCTCTGACCTAAAGAGGCTACATACCTGTCAACCTGCAAAGCTCTAGGACTGCCCAGAAAGCAAAGATCTTGCTACATTTCTCTTCCAAAGAAAACAAAAATCAGCAACAGTTAAAAGCATCCCTCGGCTCTAATCGAACACGAAACTGGGCTCTCTATCTCTCTAAGATAGTGTCTGTCATAAAAACTGTTATCACATCTCATACTGATCATCACCTTATTGCTTTTGACATTTTTAAGTTGCCCATCCCACCCCCTAATCCCTGCATTTGTGATTCCTTTTCAGAAAGAGATGGGGCCATTATTTTCCCAGCCAGAATCTTTTATCATTATTTGCTTCCTACAATTTTAATATTCTAAGTCACTTTAATAATATCTTTGTAAAGGTCATATTACTTCTTGTTCATGATACCAATGTTCAGAACAATTTCCTTAGCAGTTCTGATATCTCTGAATTTAATTAATGGGCATTTTTCCTCTTGTAAAGGCCACTACAGATAAAGCAGAGAAAATGTTAAGAACTTACTATAGTGTATTCAAATGATCTTAACTGATATTTAGATGTCCCATTTGGAAAAAAAAATAGTGCTTGGTGTATCATTCTCATTCAAGGGGACATTAGAAGAGTCCCTACAGTACAGAGGCTTTACATAAATAGCATCAGTGACCAAGATGGCACCAGGCCCTTAGGAGCAGACAAAGACCCATCCCTCATCATTTCCAGAGTTTATTGATAGTGGTTGAAATCAGTGAGTAAGTGAGGGAAAAAGCAAATGTTATTAAAAGCTTATGGTTTCCTGAATCCTTCTGGGAATATTTTCTCACTCATTTTCCCCATAACAATTCCATGAAATAGATGTTATTACTTTTATTTTTTAAGGTAAGGGAACAGAACCTCAGCAAGGCTAACTGACTTACCTTAGTTCATTTAAGTTAATAATGACAGCTTCGATTTTAGGTCACCTTTTCTGTAGGAACTATATTTTTTCCACCAGGCATCATTGACAGCCATGGATTCAATGTCCTCGTGCATTTTATCAAGTTGTCTTCACACACATTATCATTCACATTTGTTTAAATGTGCAAATGGACAGATGTTCAGTCAACTGCTCAAGTCACATTTATTTATTCAAAAAATATTTATCTAGCACCTGATATATGCCAGGGACCATTAATGACCATGTAAATTCAGAAGTGAGCAGTGTATGCAATTCTCTACTCTCAAAAAGTCTGCATTCTCATGGAAGAGATGAATAGCAAACAAGTAAACAAGCAAATAAATAATATAATGTGATTAAGTACTTCCATGCAGCTAGCACAGCAGTTGGGTACTGGTTTCAGGACCCCCTACAGACAACAAAATACACAGATGCTCAAGTTCTTTATATAAATTGCCTTAGTACTACATAGTACATAATGCTGGTGAGAAACTGGGGGTCTGTGACATGGCAGGAGGCTGTAGCAGGGTATGCTTACATATCATTCCATTCATGTGGGTTTACCTCAGTGTGCTGTCAATTCAAGATTTTCAGTTTGGAACTTTCTAGAATTATTTTTGATCCACAGTTGGTTGTATGCATAGATGCAGAACCTTGGGTACAAAGAGCTAATCATGGTTGATAGAGCCTTATCTGGATTTATCGAACAAGAAGGAACCAAGCAGTGAGATGTGAGATAGAGCAGGACAAGAGATACGTTGGGCAGAAGGGAAGATGCCACTCCAAGATGGCATATGTGTGGGCACCTAGGCATTGTATCAAGCAGAGAATGGCAAACTTCTGTAAAAGGCCAGATATTAAACATGTTAGGCTTTGAGAGTCATAGGGTGTCTGTCACAATTACTCTACTCTACTCTTGTAATATGAACATAGTTATAGATAATGGGAACACAAAAAGGTATGGCTGTGTTCCAATCAAACTCAAAGTTTGAATCTCACAAAATATTATTCTTCATTTGATTTTTTCTAATAACTTAAAATGGAGGGGCTCGTGGTATGGCTTAAATCGTAGAATGCCTGCCTAGCAAGCACAAAGCCCTGAATTTAAACCCTCAATACCACTGAGAAAGAGAAAGAGAGAAAGGAAGGAAGGAAAGAAGGAAGGAAGGAAGGAGGGAAGGAGGCACGGAGGGAGGGAGGAATGGAAGGAAGAAGGAAGAGAGGGAGGAAGAAAGGAAGGAAGGAAGGAAGGAAGGAAGGGAGAGAGGAGAGAGGCAGGGAGGGAGGAAGGAAGGAGGGAGGGAGGGAAGGAAGGAAGACAGAGAGAGAGAAAGAGAGAAAGAAAGAACCTACAAGCTCTAAAACCCCTAATTTAGAGGGTGACACTGGTTGAGAAAGAGTCCACTGTTGTTCTTAGGAGAAGAAAATGGATGGGGAAAAAGAAATCAAGAGTAACAATAATATCTATCTTCCACAACTCTTTGCTATTGCTCCTCCAATTTTCGACTTGCAATGCTAATTTTCCTTTCCTATGTTTCCTTTGAAATATCCTGTTTAAAGTCCTTTTAAAAGCATATCTGCTGCAAATAATAGCTCTGAGGTACAAAAAAAAGCAAACAGTGGAACTTAAATCACTTAAATATTGACCAGAAAAAGGAATATCTTTCTAATGCCAACATGCAGGGACAGTTTCCCTTTGGGCCTGTGATTCTCACAATCCTTGGGTGATAGAACTCTGGATCCCAATGGATGTTGTGCATCAACACTATTTCCATATAGTCCACCAGCCCATCACAAACCTGCCCGTGAAGAACAAACCTGTTGGGGCTGGTGAGCGATCCTTGGATGAGAGACTTTCTACAACCCCACAGCCAGACCTGTCATGTTCTTTGCCTCCATTTCTTCCTGATGTATGCTCTAACTTTCTTTTTAATTCTTTCCACACCAGGCGATGAATCCAGCGGCTCAGGGAGTGGTAGTGGATGCATGGATGACGTGTGTCCCACAGAATTTGAGTTCATCACCACGGAGGCCCCTGCAGTTGACCCTGACAGGAGGGAAGAGGACTCTTCTGCAGCCCAGCTTGGTCACTCCCTCCTCTCCTGGTCTCTGGTCTGCATGGTTTTGGCACTGCAGAGACTCTGCAGATAATCCTGGGTTTTGGTCAGATGAAACTGCATTTTAGCTATTTGAGTGACCAACTCCCTTCTTTTCTTACACTCTTGGACAATGGACCATGCCACAAAAACTACCCTTTTCTATGAGAAGAGAGCAGGATTGCTATCTGCCTCCCTTTTTGTTTTCCCAAAGAGTATACCGGGTGCCAGATGAACTGCCTCCTCTTTCCTTCAGCTATCTGTGGGGACCTTGTTTATTCCAGACAGAATTCTTACTCAAATCTTTCGTACCAGGAGATTTTCTTACCTTCATTTGCTTTTATGCTGCAGAAGTAAAGGAATCTCACGTTGTGAGTTTTTTTCCCAAAAAAAAAAAAGGTAGGAAGAAAACAATTTTCCTTTTAAAATGAGGCCAAACCCCAAGACAACTGCATTTTCAACAAAGAAGCAACAAGAGAGCAAAAATAAAGGAACTTTCATGCTATAGGTTCAGCATTGACAGCCAGCTCCCAGGGTAAGCTTTTCTGTGACAAACCAGGTTGACAAAACGCTTAGGAGGAGAAAGCTCAAATTTTTTTTTAAATGTAGTGAAAATACACTGTTGTCTTGGAGGTATCTTGTACTCTAACCACACAATACCAAACTGATTTGGGGGTACTGATATTAAATTTAGAATTTTGTCTTTAATACGAGAGCAAACCTTACTACAACTCAGCACCTCTCACTCACCCACCCAATTTCAAATCCAGTAACGGCACCATTTTTCTTAATTCCCTTAATGTCTGTCCATTGTATCCAATTGGCACAGATTTTTCTTCAGTTACTACTAGACACCCCCATCAAGTCATTCTCCCAAGTCTCAATGGAAAATCATCTTTAATCATACAATCTCTATTTTTGCCACAAGTTTGACATGAATTAGACGTTTCTGCCCCTGTGTTCATTACCCTACCCAAATAAGAGTTCTTTTACTGAATTTACAATTAGATCCATACTTAAGTTTTTGTTTTTAACTATTTACTTTGTGTCAATTGGTTTCTCCATCACAAGGGCATTCTCTTACAAAAATAACTCACAACAACAGAAAGTCAAGACAAAAAATACCTATATATATAGTATTGACATGGAGATTTCTTTCACTTTTTTAGTCTTAGTATGATCATCTATTTTTATATCTATATATATATATAAATCACAGATTTTAACTTCTTAATTCCAAGCTCAGGGTTGACACACCTTTGTAACAAAAATGTTTTGTCAACCAGCTCTTCTTGTTTTGTGCTGCTCAGAGAAGGGACTCCTCAATGACCTGTGAGCACCAAGAATCAAGAGAAAGAACTTTTTACATATCTAACTGTCCATCTATTAAAAGTTTGCCAGGACACACCCTTATCACACAAGTGTGCTTTGTCCCCAGTGCTTCAGAGTGTACTGAGCTCATGGGACCAGCCCTGGGTGTGTGGGACTTCCCTAGTGATGGAAATTGTGTGCGTAAAGAATGTTATTCACAAAACCCATTGCTTTCATGTACAACACCTTTGGCCTATGATTACTGCTTGGCTGAAACTCAAGAATCCAATTGAGACTAGTCTATCCGCCAAGCCAGGTCCAATGCTCCCCCTGGCAAATAGAAGCAAAATAAACCAAACTGGGGCTTTATGAATACAGTTGGTTATCCATGTGTTTCTTGGCTTTTATAATGCATCTGGAGTAGGGAAAGGAATATGTCAAGACACCATAGTGTGCCAGTCACATTTTAACTAGCTCATTGGCAGTATTGGCACGTAAACAATATTTTTCGATCTCTGTTCTCATCAAAATTAAAATTAGTTATTGATTTAGTCATCACATTTAAGTAGAACACATGTGGCACAATAGTATTAAGTGTATTTGAGCACTTTTGCAAAACAGAAAGTATTTACAAGCATCTATTGCCACTTCATGCCTAACAAAATATGAAATGTAGGATTCCGAGAGACTTTGTGGCATCTTTCATATAAATCTTTATGGAATTAACACTTAATCTAATTCAGCATTACACACTTCTAAAAAACCTTCCATTTTACTGCCAGCCTTTGGCTTCCTATCACCAATTATCCATAACACCTCTCTATGAAGGACCAGTCATTTTATGTTGCTCAGAAGTCAGTATTGTTTCTCTCCAATAATTAAGGTGCAATACAAATTTAATCAGCCTTGATTTTTCAGAATATTTGAATAACAACTTGTTTTTATGGCTTTAAACTCCAAATCTTTGTTTTTAAAATACTTCTACATTATCTTCTATGAAATAGATCAGGATGTCTTATTTTTCCTGTGCTCTCCCCCAAACGGTTTTGTGCACGTGTATGTTAACCCACTATATTAATGAATGTGAACCCATGTTCTGTACGCACTAATCACACAGATAATATATAAACGCCTGCTTCATGTGTTTCAACATCTTCATTATCAGTATGACTCCTATTGAAAAGATATAGTGATGCATATTAGCCAGGCAAAGAGCTGAAAAGACTACCAGTGAATGATGCCACAATGAGTCACCTTTGCATGGATGTGGTCAAAATATTATTATTCAATTGCACTTCCTGGTCTTTATCATCATCCTGTGATGTCCTTTGATTTTCAAACCAATGTAACATGAGAATTTTTTTTCCACTTCTAAGGGATTTTGTTGAATCTAGTTATCCCTAGATTATGGTATATATTTCGGGATCCACCACCAAAATTATTTTTTCTTGTTTCAGTGTAGTGATAGGGGATGCAATGAAGCTCCATTGGCTTTCATGACCTGCCCTCATTTGTTTTGATGTCCCCTAAATTCTGTTGTTACATCACAACTTGTGTTTTGAGTAGAGAGGAATGGGCTCACTGGAATAGGACACTAGAAATTGGTGTGTGGAGCTCATAACTGCAAACACTTAGCTTATTGAAGTGCCTCTATTTACATGTTCTTTAGTTATAATATGTATTTTTCTAACAGAAATACACATCTGTAATTGATGTATATTATACTTTGTATATGTTAAAAACAAAAGCTAATCAGAGACTAAAGTCCTTAGCAGAGAAGAATGAATTGCAGATTTATGAATAAGATCTCTGTGGTTCTGTACTAATGGACAGCCACAAGTCAGCCTTCTGTAGTTTTAATGAAGGCTAAAGTTGGCACTTGGATTATTGCCATCACAAAATGTTAGCATTAGAAATCTGACTCCCTTACACTAATTTACCCAGGTAGGAAAAGTAACTTGTATCACCTACTTCAAATGTAAGGGATAAAAAAAATACCATTTTGTCTACACTGAAAAACACTCTTACTCATTGACAAGCAGTAATAATTTTAAAAGTAACGTTCTTTAAATCAAACACGTTGAAAATATTATTGGATGCAGAATGCTGAGGTTTAATTTATATTCCCTGCTACAGACATTAGCCTACTTTAATTCTTTTGCCATTACATACTTGTTTTGGCTACAGACTGAATACCAACTAAAGTCCCCAAGGAGGAATAAAACTTAGCAAACTCCTGAGTTGTGATTTTTTTTTTATTACTTCTCTTTGCAAGGCTAATTATCAGGTGGTTTGATTCAAGGTTAGCAAACGCAAGTTTTGGATAAGTCAAAACTCACTTTCATTGACTTATAGTAACTAATGGATCTGACTTTTAACTTGAAAAAAAAGTTTAGCTTTGCCAACAGAAGAGTAAAGAGATGATAACTTATAAATTTGCCATGCATTCCTCCTTGGTGGAGATAATAGTCAGTGTTTAGTTTTAGGCCAACTCATACAAATACAGTATTGATTTGTACGCATTCTGGAGACTTACTATATCATGGTTTGCTACAGCTCAGACTCAGCGTAGCATGGGAACATTTGGAACGTCATTCAAAGTTGAGTAGATGCTGGAATCTTTGACATTGCCTTGTACTGAGGTACTTCCATGAGGAACACCTACGGATGGCACATAGTGAGGTCTCTGTGTGCATATACATAATATATATGCAGGATAAATGTGTGCACCAATCAAACCTAAAATTTTATGTGACTGTCAAATGACTATTATTTGGGTTAAGATTTTTCATTTCTGATTTGGATAGAAAATTGCTATTAATCTTGTATTAAAATAGTTTTTAAAAATCTGCCAGTGCTCATTTTGCATTTTCTTAATTATTGTCACAATCTAAATTTCAGAGCTTTTGAATGTTTTTGTTTGAGATCTTTTTAGACTCTTCAACATCCAAAAATAAATAAATAAGCAAAACTCATAGATTAAACCAGTGCTGCACCTCAAAGTACACAAAGTATTGGAAACTATGAATTTCAGAATTTTTAAACATTGAAAGTTTCCCAAATGTGTAAGAAAAATACTAGATCTCTCTTTTGTGTTGGTTTCTAGAAAAAAAATTTAATGGCTTAGAATTGATGTTAGTAGTATATAAATGAGGTCAGAAAATAAGATTGTATGTCAATGAACTAAATTTTTTTAAATTTAACAAAAGGCATTGATTTTTATATTTCTGAAGTTTCAAAAAGCATGCTAAATATTGTATGATTCTCTGAAGATTCATTTAACAAACATTTACAGGACTCTTCCTTTCTGTTAACCCTGCTCTGGGTGCTGTGTACCACAGGTTTCCAGAAACTACCTATTGAAAATTATTTGTACCCTAATGTACTAAGCTGTAATTATTACAAATATAGCATTTATTTCAAAATGTTCTTTTATATGAAGGAAACTACGTAAAAAACAGGTATCAAGAATGTGTCCTTTAGAGCTGGTAAAATGGCTCAAATAGTAGAGTGCCTGCATACCTAGTGGAAAGTCCTGAGTTCAAACCCCAGTACCATCACCAAAAAACCCTAGAATTTAGCTATAAGTAGTACCTCATTTTATAGACTCTCTAATTCCATTACCATCTTGACTTTTATTGATCAGTTATTTTTACAAGATAAGGAACTGCAGGATACTGCATCTATAAAATCAGAATATAACAAATTTTATTTGGAAGTAAGCTGAAACCAATGCATTAGAAAGGAAAAATTTCCAATGGCTTTGGAAAAATGAATGAAACCACAAAGCCTTTTATCAGGTAACAACCATATTTATTTTAATTTTCTCCTGGGATAAATGGGCTAATACTTAAAATGTATGTGTATCAAAATGACACTGATTATAAAAATACCAACTTATAAAATAGTAGCAATTAGAAGTGGAGTGTTGCTGTGTATCTTGAGAGCTAGAAAGATGTAGCCACAAGTTCAAGTCTTTTTTAAAACAGATGTTCTCAATTGATATGGTGCCCATACATTTCCATCCACAGACACATTTAGTCACTGGTGTAAACGTGTGGCTG